AAGAGAGTGATGTTGAGGTTCACATACAACTCCAGGTTTCATCTCAGGCCCATTGCAGGTGTTGATTTCAGCATCAGCCTGACAGGGGAAGGTTAATCTTGGCTTTAGTTTGGAAGTAGATAGGTTACCACAGTGGGCAAGGCCGGGCTGTATTAATGACCAACACACCAACACCTGCTAGAGCAATATGACAGTGTTAGGGAAAGTAAACTGCAGTCTCACTTTAAATCAGATGCTGAAGCATGGAAGAAAGTTTGTCCACCTGGGCAGTGTATCCAACACCTTGAACTGCCAGAGGAATTAGCAGAGGCATTGCACTCTCAGCCTCTATTACAAGAACTTTTTGAAGAAAATTCAAGTGTAGTCAGTTCTGGAAGTCATAAAACCCCATTACTTTTTGCCATTAATGTAACCTGTTAAGAAGTTAGCTGGGACTAACTACCCAGCCTGTTGCTAATAATTGACTTGAGGCCTACCACTCCAATGTAGAAACTTAAGGTATGTGACCTCGTAGTGAATTTCTGCATTCCAGATAGTTGTTTGGTTTTTTGTTTGGTTGGCTTTTTTTGTTTTGTTTTGTTTTTTTGTTTGTTTGTTTTAATCAAATTGCTTGGTTTGGAGATTCCTCCTTGGAAGAGGTCCAAACACATTTTCATATGTTTGTTCCAGTGGGTGAATCTTAGCAGAACCTGACATGGTTGGGAAAGGCACAGGAACAAATGTTGCCTCTCAACAAACACAATGTGTTTGAACCAGTTTACCTAAGAACCCACCTTCATGTGGCTTTTGGCTCCAGTGCTGTGGGCACTAGAGAGGACTGAGTCGTGCCTGTGGCAGAGATATCCATCACGACACAGCTGCCCAGTGAAACGTGGAGCCATGTTTGCTCAGAGCTAAAAACAGCGTAGATGCAGCTCAAGTCTTTGCAGTCTGAGTAGCAGATGTCTTTCCCCTCCTGTGCTCAGTTGTGAGCTGCTTGACACCCTGCCACAGATTTCCTGTGTGAACTTGGGTGAGTCACTTCATCTCTCCCTTGATATTTGTCTGTACTGTTCATCCAGGCTTTTAGGACCCTAGGTTGTCTCTTACTGAGTAGAGGGACAGTCCCTCATTATCAGGGAGTTTTAGTCATTACTGAAATCCAGATAAATCAGTAGAGCTATTAGTTTCTCTTCAACGTGTGGTAAATAAGAGGTACCATCAGAAGAGAGGAGCAATTTACCATAATGATGATTATATTTACAGATTATTTTATAGAACACTAGATTCAACACCTTTTGAGTTCCTACCACACTTACTTCAATGAGGTGTTGTTCTTCTGCGTGGCTTCTGGGAGTTGTTGCAACACAAATAATTAAGAACAAGAAAACTTTATCTGGGACTTAAAATTCAGCCAGCCTGCAACATGCTGCCAGCATTCTCCACCCGAGTAAGTACTCCCAGTGAGCTCACCATAACCCTCCCCTCTGTGTAGGGGCTTCTTCTATACGGTTAAAATCATTGGGAGTTTTGCCACTGATACAATGGCAATAAGATCAGAGACCTCAGGTCAGTACCAGAGCATGCTAGTGAGAAGGATGTGTGATTTGGATAAAGAGGGAACACTTTTCTCTCAGTCCCTCACAATAGCTCAGAAATCCATTGAAAATGTTAGCAAGAGGCCTTTTTTATTTCCTGCTGGAAAAAGCATGTATGTTTAATTCCTGTAATAAAATATTGTAATGGTAGTAAATAGTGAAGTTCTAGAAGGAAAAAATTGATTTCTCAGCTAATGGAGGAGGGGGAAATTGTGAATCCCTGGTTGCCTATTATTGGTTGACTAGCAACATTTGGCCACAGAGAGCAATAGAAACATAGTTTTAACACGCAGGTGGCTACAAGAGAAGGGCTGTGCTTTATGAAGCCCAGTATCTCCTTAAAGTGGTTCAGCCTATTTTTCCAAATATGTTACAAAGCGAGTCAGACTGAAACTGTTGTAGATAGTCTGCTCCACTTCAGATAGTTGCACATTCGTTTTAGCTTTACAAAAAAGTTTATGTTGGCATTTTCTGTTCCTTGTAGTCATGCTGGCTTTTCAAAATAGCTTTTGAACTAAAAATATGTTTCTTGAAATTCATACACTGGGACAAAAAATATCTCTTCCCTTACTGCTACCACACTGAAGCAGATGGTGAGTGCTAAGACTTGGAACCAGTAGGCAAGTAATTCTTCAATGGTTGGGTGCAGAAATGTGGCTTTTGGGTCAAAGTAGACTTCTACGAGACAGCCTGTCATTGCAAGTTCATTTGAGTTCAAAGTCCCCTTGAGTTATCCCTGGAAGACTCCAGCAGCAGGTTACATGAGCTGCACAGATGCCCTGTTGCATTTCCAGCTTGAGTTTCACCCACAGCCTCTGACAAACCATCTGCCTTAAATTGAATTCAGTTCCAGCTCTGTGTTTTTCTATGTGAACAGTAATCAGATTAGGGACGACACCCAGGTTATGCCTCAGGTTAGTAATGACAACCTTACAAAATTCATCATGATCCATGTCATAATGATGTCACCTACCTAACATGCATTCCCAGTATGGTATCCACAGTTACTTTGGCACACAGACCATAATGCAATATTATTGTACGTGAGGGAGATACGCTGCCTGCGAGTAATACAAATGGGTGACTGCAGAGTGGTTATTTCTGTGCAAACTAGACTCAGAATAAGCTTGACTCTGCAAATTACAAAGCAACTTTTGCTCCCTCTGAAGTCATTTCACTTTTCAAATTCACTTTGATTAACCTGGTTTTGACAGTGTGGCACTTACCCTGTTGTAAAGAAAATTGGTAGCTGTGAAAGGTCAAAGATTGTCTAATTTAAGGTGGGAGGCAATGTTTGCTGCTGATGAAAACCTTATCTTTATAGTGAGCAATAACACATTCTGATGATCTACCAGTATTGAGTTTCCTTCTCTTTTTTTTTTTTTCATTAACCTGAAATTATGTCACTTGTAGACAGAAATAAGGAAAATGGATTGCAAATGCCGAACCTATGCAAATTTTGTGACATTAAAGTAACAACCTGCTCAAACCAACATCAGTGCAAGAGCAACTGCAACATCACTGCTATCTGTGAGAAGAACAATGAAGTCTGTGTTGCTATATGGTAAGTTATTTCTTCATACAGGTGAGGAGGGGAGCACGCCCTCATTCATCATTACTTAGTATTTTCCTCGATTGCTGTGATATTCTGAATGTCTCTGTTTTCCTCACCAGGCTTTGCTCTCACTTCCAACTCGTATCTGTGCTCAGCATACTGAGAGTTGCTTGAGGTTAACAACAATTCTGATATGAAATGTTCTGGGGATTTTTTTCCTTTAAAGCAGTTCTGTTCCAGCTTATGCTGTTATTGGAAAAGAGGCATGTTTTTGGTCAAACCATTAAGCTGCATCCACCCACAGCACTCAGACTAGAAACAGATTTGAGACTCGGAGAGGATTGTGGTGGCATTTGCTTAAGAAAGACAATTCTTTCTCAGGTTTCAAAGTAAACTAGATTATGTAGATATATTACAGGAGGCTTATTTACCATGTATAGGTAGAAATACTTTCTTTTAATGGTAAAAAAAGTCTTCTGTGTATGTAGTGACTCTGATTAAGTGTGGTGCTTCTTATACAGCATATATCTAGGTTCAAAGAAATCAAGAATATATGAATAGGAGTTGTAATACCTTTTTAGGATTTCTTGACTCTAAACTTGCATTCCAGTCTAAAAACTGTCATTTTGCCCTTCCTAGATGATAAGGCAGTCCCACCAAAGAAAAACAGAAATACTTTTAATGAGTTCATAAGTGGGCAAAAGGAACAGAACTGAGTATTTGCAACATTGCTGCCGATTTAGGAACATAATTAGAATCACTTACAGAAAGATGTAATTAATTCATTTATTGGGGGATTAATTGTGTCCATTGACTTGAAGAGATGTTCAGCATAATCGGAAATAAACAACTTGAAATGCAGGATCAGTCCAGTGTGCTGTTCTGTATTTGTCCTGTGCTCCTTTAGTAAGTGATCAGTGTCTGTTATTGCCATATGAAGTGGCTGTAGTGCAATTTAAGATACATTCTGGATTTTTTTTATGCCAGTTTATCTAAAAGGTAAATGAGTTGAGAACTATATTTAAAATTCTCTTTGCCTCCTAGTCCTGTCTCAATGTGATGAAATCTGTGGACACAGGAATATGGTCCAGATTATCATCTGCAAGTATTTCCCTGAAAGTGAGGCAACTCTAGCTTGCACCAGTTCTATGATTGGTTTTGGTTTTATTTAAAAAAAATGAAGATTGTGAGGATAACTCCTTCAGTGCAGAAATTGTGCTGACTATAGGCTTCAAAAACAAAACAAAAAGGCCAACTCACTAGAAATTCCTCAGATTTTGAGGAAATAATTCAGTTTTTATCATAATTTCACACAGATTTTTACTGTCTACACAGTGACCACAAAAACCAAAAGTATGTTCTGAAGTTCACAGCAGTTCATTGAGCATTAGCCTGAATAATTCTGGGTGAGATTTTCAAAGGCAATCACTGGAGCTTAGTGGTAATACGATACAGAAATAACTGAGCCATTGTACAAATGCCCCAGTGTGAGGAGTCCAGACACAGCCAAATTTACCCCATTCAGGCAAGCTGGAGAAGAACATATGGTACTCTTTAAATCCCATTTGAGTTCTCAAAGAGGCAAATTTCAGGCAGGCACAGTCTTGTCTGCTCTGTTTGTAAAATATTCCTTCTTTGATTTCAGTTTTCTTCTTTTTCATTTTTAGGAGACAAAATGATGAAAATGTGACATTAGAAACAATATGCCATGATCCCCAGAAAACACTCTATGGTCACGTGTTGGATGAATCCAGCTCAGAGCAGTGTTTGATGAGGGAAAAGAAGGAAGATGGGGGATTGATGTTCATGTGTTCCTGTACAGGTGAAGAATGCAATGATATGCTCATTTTTCCATCAGGTAGGTTTAATGATTTACACTGCATCCCTAGGCTGTACCTTGCAAGTACTGTTAACTGTGTCATACCAATTGAATTTGGAATCACATTTTGTGGAGGAAAACTTCTGGGAGCAGGAGGTATTTTAGTCTCTTCAGAGTCTTGCGAAATCTCAACCTTTCTTTTCTGTGTTCAGAGCATATTTCTTCCTGCCAGGCTGTCATCCTTTTGAAGTAAGTCTGATACTCAGCTCAAGACATTGCACTTAAAATTGATGAAAAGAAAGACAAAAGCAAGATGTTCTGTTGTTCTGTTGGCACACCAGAATGTGACATATGCTAATTACATTATAAAACATAAACAAGAGGCAAATGCCATATTTAAGGCCTGGCCTCTTCTGAAAGGCTGTATTGCCATAGTGTGGCATCTGTATATACAGATACTGCTGTGTAACTTGACAGGATGTGAATTTAAACTCAGCTTCTCTGTTGTAACTGACTTGTTTTGTGGTGGACATGAAGTAGCTGCAAGGTTCCTTCACTGGTGGATATGGTACCTCATGGTTACTACAGCACAAGGATGCATACGGGAGTTCAGTTAAAGCAGTAAAATCTGAGTGTAGACCAAATCATAAGTGCATAACCTGTCCCCATTCTGCTTCATGCATACCTATATTGACCACTGCAAAGACAGTAAAGGCAGCACAGGTGTGTACAGACGTGGTGGACCTCATGCTGCACACACAGATGCACATGTGTGTGTGCACACACATCACTTTATTTTCTCCTACCTGCTGGATCCCACAGTGATTCTTTTACTGAGACCAAGTCAGGTCTTTTGCAGGCAAGTGTGAGGCCTCCTGTGGAGAAATTTGTGTGCATGCTTGTAAATGAGTATGGCACACAGCAGCAATCCTTATCACCTGGAAGTTCCTCAGAAAAGGAGGATAGGAGGATAATCAAATCTTTGTTATCTAAGAGAAAGAAAAGTTGGGACACTGTTTCCACTCCTGGGAAACATGGTGCATGACTGCAGTGAGGCAGCCCACTATGTGTGTGACTTCTAGCTCCTGCTTCCCAGCCCTCCATGAAGGTTAATTAGTTTCGTTTGCAAAACCACACCAGATTAGCCAAGAGCAATCTAGAAAGTCTTTGCCTCATTTGGCCCAGGCTGTCCATATCCTGTGCCATGTCCTTCCTTCTACCTCATCCCCTCCCCAAGCTTAATTTGCAACCAGACAATCTGCCTGCTGATCCGTGGTTGTATGACCGGTCCTGACTTGGATGAGCTCTAAAGGAGTTGGAGTAAATACTGGTATTGATGTGAGCACAGGTGATAAACCCAGGACATAATTCTAACAGATGGCTTTGATTTTATTGAAAAGAACTTGTTCCCAGTGAAAAGATCTTACTGTGTGTCAGCTGTCTTGAGTTTTTATACAAAACGAACCACACCCTTGTGGATTTTGGCTAATTTGTTATAAATTAGTCACATTATAGCTGTTTCTCCTGAAGCTACGTAGCTGAATACAGTAACTCTGACAACTGTGTGTGTTCTGTGTGCACGTTTACGAAAACCGTACTCTAAATTCAACACCAAGTGCCTTCATTCCCACCAACTCTGCAGCCCCTCTCACACTTCCAGAGCAGACTACCAGAGCTGTAGTATAAATTAAAACTCAGTCTTTTACCCTAATTCCTTTCGCTCTTTGGAGTGGAGCTTTTCCTTCTAGATCATGTGCTGTAAGCACTCTAGGTGACTCATGAAAACTGTGCCCTGCATTCACATGTAGTAAGTGAATAACTAAAATTAATGCAAAACTTAGGTTAGTAACATTTCCAGTTCATTCAAAAACACAAGTATTAACTCCAGTTGAGCAGGGGGAGAATTGAGGCTCTGTCATTCCTTTTTTATTGTTGTGGATTAGTGTTTCTTTTAAATGAAAACAGCCCCTTTGGGTTGCTTGCCTGGTTAGCCATGGCAGGAAGACAAACGATTTTTACAGTATCAGACATGCGGTTTCCTGTCTGTGTTTAACTTTGAGCAGAACATCACAGCCAGCTGGTCCACGGCTCCTCCAGACAACTAGATAATAGCCTGTAATAATTTTGCCTTTGGAATGACTGTCATCCAGATCTATTCTGTACGTTGTTCTTGCCTTTTTTTTTTTCTCTCTGTTTCTTGCACACCAGAGCAAAAATTTTTGCAGTGTTTTTGCACATCCTATAGTTTTAGAAAGTAGAAAAAAGCTAGTCTAAAAAAGCCTGATCAAAATGTGGTTGTACTCATTTATTAGCAGAAACTGAGATGATAAAGAAGATTGTAATTTTTTACCTGACAATCACAGCCTTTCCTTTCAAGCTATTGCTATAAGTGATCAGTGTTTTAGCTCTTCTTCCTCCTGGGTGCACACTTAAGACAGATCAGATTTAGTTTGTTCCTGGTGTTTCTGAGGTAAGAAAGAAAACTGTGGGTAAGGCAACAAGTTCTAATTTCCACCAGAGGTTAGTCACTACTTTCCAGTGATTCACATCTGAGCTGTTATGGTTTAAAGAATAATTGGTTTATGGCACTGTTGGCTTGTATCAGTCTTGCCTGTGAAGGGTAAACCTCCTCACTCCATTTTTAGACACAAACATCTAAAGGTTTCGGGTAGTGGGAGGTGTTGTGACTCACCCAAGTGTGGCTTTGGAAATGTTTGTGAAGTAGTTACATCCAAATAAAATGCCTGTTTCTTGTATGGACTTTCATTTAAAGTGCCAATCTGCAAAGTAAGAAAGACACAGTCAGGCATGTACCTAAACCTGCCTGTAGTTCTGCTGTGTCAGGGGGCTTCTGAACCTGATTCAGATCCCTGGCATTTCAGGCCATGGGCAGCTGGTGGAAAAATACCCTGTGTAGAATGTAGAATCACTCCAAACAATGTTCTGTATGTCTTGGAGAAATAACATACAGGAGACAGGTAGCCGCTGCAAATCTGACTACTCTGTGTTTATTTTTTAACCCCTTTCTTCTTTGCCAAACAAAATTGCGGGTGACTGGCAAGCAGTTTACACCCCTGTGGTGGAAAAATGCTTCTTACGGCAAAACTCAAGGCCAATCTGTTTTAATTATTATTTATTCAAATGTCTAATGTCCGTGTTACCAGAAGGCAAAGCCAGAGAGCAAAACCACTGGAAAAGGTTAGCCAAAATCAAGGCAAAAAAGGCTCTGGCTGGCTAGAAGTTGGCTAGGTGGCAGACACCAGCCTGCTTCTACTGTCATGGAAAAGATGAGTGCAGGACTGGACTATCAGGGCTTTTTCCTCCCTAATGTCTAGTTGTGTCTGGTGGATCTTTTGCATCTTGCTTTGCCTTCTTATGTTTTGACCTGTTATGGTGAACCAGGTCTCTTTGTAGCTGTTTGCACAGTTCCAGGCCTCCCTTGGTGTTTGAGCAGCTTTGTTCCCCAGCCTTCCCTTCGCCACACCATCTCCCAGCCTCTATTCAGCAGCCTGTGTGAGCCTGACAGAGTTCTTCTTTATTAACAATCCTAAGCTATTTGGCTGAGGTCAAGGCTTGTTTACCCAAAGGAACCAAGTAGGACTGTGCTCTTTCCAGCCTCACGTCTGACCCGTTCTCTGTGCACAGAGATGACCAGGCCCTCACTGCAGCTGAGGAAATGGGATACCTGCATGTTCCTCAGTGCATGACCTACCTGCTGTGCAGTACAACTTCTTCCTGTTATGCAGGCTCATTCAGCGGTGTGCAAAAGGGTGACCCCAGCAGTGGAGGCTGCAGACAGGAAAACAAATCTTTTAAGTGCTGCTGTTATTATATATGCATTTGTTATCTTGGGCATCGAGTTCAAATCCAAGCAAAAATGCAGAGATCTCAAAATTTGAAAACAGGATTTAAACTCTGGTTTAGAGTTGTTTCATTCTGATAAACTTACATGGTGATCATTTTTCATCCTCACCTGTCTTGCTATGCTATGTAGACCTCCATGCAGCATGCAACCAAGGTGGGGTTGTTCAGGTAGACTGTTTTTATTCCTCTTGTACTGCAACATGAAGTCATTATTTTGGGCATTCCCACTACACTGGGTTTTAATATGGCAGAAACCTTTAGCAGCACCAATGTATACAAGTTTTAATGATTTTCTGAATCATCCAAACAGTTGCCTCGAAGTATCAATACTTCAGTGATAGAGACGACTGACAGGTCAATGAGATTTTATGAGAATAATAAAGCTATTTGGGGAAGTGTGTCAGAGGGGGGGAGGGTGTTGTGCTGCTAACAATCTTCACATTGTTCATGTTTTTACTGAGTTTGCTAATTGAAAGTGTAAGAGACCTAAGTATTTGGTTAATCAATTGTGGCTGAGTCATTTGCCCAAACAAATTACAGCATATGGATTTGCAGTGTGTCAAGTGCTGTGATTGCTCACTGTGTATGGTTGTTACCTGGGAGACCTGGCATTGTTCTGCTGCCTGAACCACCACAAGCATGCCTGTGTGATGTCTTGTCCTGTGCCCAGATTGCAGGAGATATGGGTAATGTTTTAGAGTTTCCTTAACTTGGTATCTCTCGCTTGTCTCTAACATGTTCCCCGTCTCTTCCTTTCTTTCTCTCCTCTTCCTCTCCTTACTAGAGTGAAAGCATTAGTGATTTTACTTGACTGCATAGGAGGATCTCAGACTTAAGAGCAGACTTAAGATCTGTGCATAAACAGCCACCAGGCCATAAACATTCCTGTGATGAGTTGTCCAGTGCTCAAGGAACAGCAGAAGGGAGATGATTACAGCTGGACTGCTTCCAAGTGGATTTTAACAAAGGCTTTCATTAATCTGTTTTTCTGTTATCCAACTAACATGTTCAGAAGGTAACTGTCTTCCAGCTGCCCCATAAAAGAGGTCAGTAGCATTACATAACGTTGCACAGAGCCTCTCACCACTTCTATATTGGCATTGTTCTCTGTGTTTCCTCTTAGGTATTTGCAGCCGCAGAGTCCCACCCAATGCCTGCAGCTGTATGTAACCAAAGGAGAGGCCGTCTAATACTGAACGTCTGATTCAGTTAGTAGGATAGAAAGGAAATAGAATGGAAAGAGGCAAAAGAAGCCAAAATTTTGTTTTGCTCTGTAATATTTATATTGTTTGCTTCCTAGGAAAATAATCATGCAGAGCTCAGTTACAGATTTGTGTGAAAACAAACTAGGCAGTGCTCTTCCAGTCTGGTTGGCATATTTGTTACAATTTGCATCACTTGAGAGCTTAATAAGTGTGGGAACGTGGCCAACCTTTTATCAGGTTGTCATGGAAGAGACTTTAATAATTTCAGACAGAAA